AGCACCTACTGGGCGGGGCTGCAGTCTGGAGTTGTGAAATAACCACCCCAGGCAAGCAGAGAATGCTCGAATTGCCAGCACTAACATTGTTTTCATGATTATCTAGAGTTTTGCATGAAGAAATAGGACCGTAGCTCCTTTTCCTCAGCTACCTCCCACCAGCCATTTTCATGGAACCATCTTTCCCCACTTTGGATCTGAGAGCAGGTGACTTTTCCAAATTGGCCTGAAATCCACTCTGTAACCTCGGGTCTCCCAGTAGGTGGCCCAGATCTGGGGCTGCAGCTGCAGGGCTTTTACTAAACCACCTCTGTCCCTACTGCAGGAGGAGCCGCCAGAGGCCTTGTCTCTCCTTGAGTTGACGCACCAACAACAGTGGGACGCTCTTCCAGCCTCTAGTCCATGTCTCCAGGTGTCTTCAGATGGCCCAGAGCCCCAAATTCTCTGTGGTTGGCAGGCCCAGAACCTCATCTTTCACCAGCACTTTCCAATGTTCCCACTTAGTGTCCAGGAATATTGATCAGCTACTCAGAACCCACCAAAGGCAGTAAAGGCATTCCCTCCCCTGGGGCATCTGTATTAGTGGCTGCCTCCTGCCAGCACATTGGCAGGAGTCAGGGTTATAAGGGTGACTAGAAATGGCTTTTCACCTCAAGGCTTCACCTGGGGAAGGAGGGAGAAGCAGGGCAAATCACCTCAGGGCAGTATGGTCAGGGCCAACCCTGCTAATTAACCGGATCTCATTATTAGAGAGCCTTCTAGGTTCATCAGCCCCAATCCCCACCCGTGCCCCATCCTCACAGGCTCTGCTCCAGGGTGCGGCAAAGCTCAGCACAGATGCACACCCTCCAGAGTTGTTCCTAATTGAGGTCTCTGGTGGGTCCCAGGCCTCAGAATCAAGGGATATGGCAATGACCCCAAAGTGTATTGTTAAAGAACCTCCCATTGCCTCATCCCTGCCACCAGCACACTGGACACCCCATTCCATTTTTCCACACAGAAAATGCACACACCGAACTCAAAGAACAGTTGTTTGACGCTTCTCAGATGTGTGGCTGTGTCTGGCTAGCTTTGCCAGCTGTTCGGCTTCCTCTCCTCCTCCAGATGTTCTTCTTCCAGCCAATTACTTCTTCACTCGGCCCTGGGGAGCTGCCGTGTGTCCGGCTGTGGCCTCTCTCTCTTCCCAGCTCAGCTGTGCACAGTGCAGTTCTGCTCTCTTCCCTGGAAACTGAACAACACGGGCTCCACGGCAGTCCCAAAGTCTCTGCTCCTCCTGGGCAAGCTCCAGCCCCTTCAGTGCAGAAGGCAACTCCCCCCAGCAGGTGACCCCACCCTGTGTCCCATTTGTGTCCTTGACCCATAAGAGGAGCACATGTGCGCGCCTAGCCACGGTGAGAGTGGCAGAGTGACACGCATGATTTGCTCTTCCTCTATTAGGAGTTCACTCTTTGGGTCTGAGGAATATTCTGGAGCCTGAATAAAAAGTGTCTTCACCAAATAAGATAAAGAATTCCTGGGAGCCGTGGACTGTGGCGTTGGGGTGGTTCTTCACAGTAGTTCTTAAATTTGAATCTGCTGGCACCGGGGAAGACTCCACAGAGGCAGGGTGGCATCAGGGCATCCTGGAGGCGGACGGAGAGAGGCCCAGCCATGGTTCTCATTAGCTGTATGACAGCAGGCGGTGGCCTTGCTCATGTGGATTCCTTGTGGTAGCGGGAGGGCCCTTCAATCATTTGACAACTGTTTACTAAAGGCTTAGAGTGGGGTTGGCAGATGGAAAGAATGACAAACAAATAAGATGATTTTGGACAAGCGTGAGGGGAGCTGACAGAGCTTGCTGGTGGTGCAGGCAGCCATGTTGGTGTCTTTGGGGTGCAGCTGGCCTTTGAACCTCGGGATGAAAGGAATTGCCCATGAAGAGAGAGAGAAGGGGAGAGAGAGAACCCGTGGAGAGGAGACAGGCCAGGGGAGGTGGGAGGAGGAGAAGAGGGCCTGGGAGCGAGAGAGTGGGAGGTGTCCATGGACAGAGGCCTGACCCTTATTCCTCAGAGGCTCCCGGCAAGTGTTTGAGGCTCATTTACCACCGTGTGTTCAGCAGACACAAAGGAGGATATGAAAAGCGTTAAATAAAAGGTTCCTCAGTGAGCTCACGTTGCTGGTGGGATTGCTGTCAGCCAAGAGAGAGTTTTCAATAAACAAGTTTCCAAGTGGAAACTGCTTCAGCTGAGGGAGCCAGGTGTCCACACCCACTTCTGAGGCATCACATTTTCCTGGGAAGCCTCCCCGACCCCATGATCAGTGGTCTCGTGAGCCTCATCTGTGGCTACTCTGCCTCCCTCAGAAAAGAAGCGAATCATAGCTTTGCTAATAGGACACTTTCTAAGCTAAAGATGACCCGTGGTGGCTCAGAGACCTCTGTCCTTGTGGTAAGGGTGTCCATGTGGTCGTTAGGCCTCCCAAGCCCTTCCATACTTTGTGACAGGCAATTTTCACTTGGGTGGAGCGGCCCAATCCACCAGCTGTTTGGGATTTAGAGATCAGGGCTCACAGCTGGATCCCAGGTGCCGACACTGCACGTACTTCTGTGCCCTGCTTCCTCCGTGTCTCTTCCTGCTACCTCTGCTCTTCCCAGACTCCTGCATACAGAAGGAGCCCCAAATAACAGCCACCAAATCTTAGGAAACTGGGTGGATTCCAATGTTCTTTCTTCTCGCTGCACTTCTTCGTGCCGACGTCTCCGGTGCACAGCCTGGAGGACGAGTGCCTTGACTCTGCTCTCACCGGGGCTAACTGCTCCGGGATATGGGCCTGGCAGCACATGTACAGATGTAACTCACAGGGGTACACTGTGGGGAGGGAAAATGATTCTCTACCCTTCAAGATTTCTTTGGCTGGCCTAGTAATTCAATTGACATAAGTCAGATTAACAGGAGAAAAGCAAATTTAATTTCGTACACACAGGGACCCCATGTGCGTGAGGTCCAAATACGAGAGGGTAAAATGAGGCACAGGTGCAGTCTGAGCTGAGGAATGGGTGGAGCCTGGCACTTCAGAGGGCAGAGGTGACTGCAGGAGGAGCAGGTGTTTGCTCTGCCATGCAGGTGGGTCAGAAGAGGTTATTTCTGACAATAACTCTCATATGGATGAGACCCCTCTTTCTAAATTCTTCTAGGTAGATAGGACAGAGCCAGAAGTTTCCATTGACTCTACAGGGTCTTGATGGCCTTCAGCTTGAAACAGTCCACTACCAAAGTGGCCCATTTTGGGGGAGGCCTGTTCTGGACCCCTTTGGCATCAGCAGGAATTATTTGCCTTTGGCCGAATGCACCTTCGAGGCCATGGGCCCTCGCCAAGGCAGGCTCCCCGAGGTTTCCCTTCAGGCCCGCTGCTCGGACCAGCTGTCTCTGCAGACGGGGTAGATCTCACAGCCCCTCTGCCACCCCATCTCAGGCATCCTCACGCTCTTTCGAGAAACAAGCTCGCATTAGACACAACTATGAGAGGAGCGGCTTATGGCGGGGGAGAGGAAAGGTGAAACATTGGCTCCTCAGCTATATGTCTGTCTACAGTGTCTCCTCCCTGTTTGCTTTTAAAAGCACATGTAGGTATTTTACGTGAGCCAACTGAGTAGAAGCTAAACCTGGGTAAAGAGTAAATTGTCCCCCGCATGCTGCACACCCCATCAGGGCAGGCAGGCTGCCGCGAGGGAGCCCTGGAAGACCTGCTGAGCCCTAGAGAAATGAGACCCACTTTCCCATCACTTGCAAAGGGAAGGGAAATTGCCACGGGACGGATTTCGTGTGCAGTTCCCCGAGTTACAAGCCTGGGTTCGTGCTGTTGACCCCAAACAGCCCTCAGATGTGCGCCAACAAAATGGGTTTCTTTGGAAACAGCAAGGGCAAGTCAGGTTGGAAAGGAGTCTTGCAGCAAGCTGCACATACTTTTCTAGATCCAAAGCCAGGACCCCTTATACCATCTTTTGTGGGGACCCTGCTGGCTGAAGAGGTGCCTCCTCCTTCCTTCCGCTGGGGAAGGAATGTCACTTCCTGTGGAAATCAGGAGGTTGTGCTCTGTAGTTTTCTGATGGTGCCGCCATGTGGGGCGGGGCGTTGGGGGGGTGCTTCCAGCCTCCTGACCTGACATGAATAGTCACTGTGTATTGACTTCCCAGGTTCTCAGGGTGCAGGGGTAACGGTATGAGAATGCCTGAGCCAGCGCTGGGTCACAAAGGCCTGGGAGAGACCTGACCTCCTCCCAGCCCCACTGTTCTGCCCCAGACAGGGGGCTCCCTTCTCCCCACATCTCGAGTCTCACCTGTGAACAGGAGACATCACCGTTTTCCTCATGGGGTGTTTCAAGGCCCAATGTTCATGTATGTGACTTCTCTTGACAAACTCTAAGATGAGGCCTTACAAATGCTTGCCCAGACCTTTCACCCCTGAGAGCTCCAGAAAGTGCTGTTTGCAGGTAAAGAAGCTGAGGATTGTGGGCGCAAAGATGGCGTGTACTTCAAGGCACTTGAAGGTCATGGCTCACTGTTTCAAATGCTATCAATTCCCCATGACTATTGAAATAACATTTTGTAGGGATGGGAGAAGGGTGTGACCCCTCTGTCCTGTCCCAGGCCCCTGTGACCCCTCAGCTCTGAATACTGAAGGTGCTGGTACCATTTTTTTTATAAAAGATTGTTCTGTGAGCCAAACAGGTTTCTCACACAGAAAGGGAAATCTTTCCTCATTAATGAGGGTTTGTGCTCTAATTTCTCTAAGTTGCCATCTGAAAAGAATGCATGCCCTATTTTTTCAAAACAGCTAATTCTGGTGAAGGAATAATTATGTTCTTGAAATATTGTAATGTGAAGCGTGTCTCTGAGTGGAAATTCATCCTATGGTATCATTTGGTTATAGTATCAGAATACGGGGCTGGGGGAGGGTTTCCCTCATGTAAAGAACCATTTTATTAATTGATATCCATATTTTTTTTTCTGCCTCTCATTTCAGAACGTTTTGATCACCACTGTCCCTGGGTAGGCAACTGTGTGGGGAAAAGAAACTACAGATTTTTTTATATGTTTATTTTATCTCTGTCTTTTCTGACAGTCTTTATATTTGCATTCGTTATCACCCACGTCATTCTTCGTAAGTATGCTGGTGAAATCAGATGATGTATGTAACCATTTGCCTGACTTTGGTTTTCTGATTTAATTTTGATTTGATATTTTGATCATTTCGGGCTTTCTCTTTCTCTCCCCCTTTCTCCCAGGCCCCCCCTCACTCGCTGCCTACCCCCTTCACGTTCTCAGACATCTCCCCCTCTCCCCACTCCATGCCACCCCCATCCTTCCAACAGCAGCTCCCCATTCACACCCGCACCAAACTCTGCCTGACTGATAGAACCTCTCCTTGATACACTCGCCCCTAATCCAGCCTCTGTGACTTCACTTTCTCTCTGTCCTTTGTCCCCCTGGAAGAATCACACCCTCGTTGGCAGAAAGGATGCCCATCTAGTTGCAGGGTACAGCTGCAAAAGCAGGAACGGTCACCCTAAAAAATAAAGTCTAAGAATAAAGACTGGGTTTTCTTACACACAAATCTAAATATGTTAAAGATACACATTTGTTAAGATGTTTAGTTATTTGCTAGAACATTCGTCAACTACAGAGCAATGAAAAATGAGTTTTGGACATAAATGACTTTAATATATATTTGCCTAAGCAAAGGACACTTTTCACTCTAACCTTCCCAAGGTCATAATTGAATCTCTTTTGTTTCTTGGTTGTTCACTTTCCCACAATGGGAGGAATGAAAGGAAGTTAATTGGCCTTGAGCTCTACCTAGATAGATGCCTTTAAACCTCCATCACAGTCACGACCAGCAGGGCCTCTGTCCGCATTCCTGAAGCACCCCCTCCCCTGGGCACCCCACCCCCCCACCCCTGGGCGGTACTGCTTGTCTCTCTGGAATGTTCCCAAAGTATCTGAACACGGCTTACTTTCTTCCCAGGCAGCAACGGGAAAACCACAAATGGAGTGGCTAGGGCTGCCTTAGAAACCCTAGTGTCCTCCCTTCTCTCTGGGTGGGGTCTGTGTTGGGTGGGGGGAGTAAATTGCATGGAAAGTTTCACCCTAGTCTTTTTAAAATATTGGTCTAGTTTGGACATTAAATGGGCTAGCCCAGATCTTCATAGGCATTTTATATCCCAGTTCCCAATCCTTCAGCCTGAAATCCTTTCATCTGAATGTGACACAAATAAATACGTGATACGTGGTCGAGAGCCATGACTCGGCAGGTTGCGGGGGGAGGACTGGCTCCCGTGGAGGCCCGTCCACTCCACCTGGGAGGGATGCCAGCGTGGCTCCACACAGGCCCAGTTTCCATTTTCAGAGGAGAAAAATGGCAAATGCCCAGGGTCCTCCTACCTGTGCGCTAGACGAAAGGGTCAGAGAGAAGCAGCAACTGCTACACAACTGGAGGAGACATCAGTACTGACACTGCAGCATACCCATGACTCTGAAAGCAGTGCTCGAAGATTACATTTTTCATGTCACTCTTGGAAAGTCCAAGTGCTTTCATTGATGTGTATTTTATATAAATACACACCTATGGCCACACTGTATTTACGGTCTGGTCCCTCCATTCTGGACATGAAGGGTCAGTTTTCACTTGCCCAAATACCAGCATCAGTCCTGGGAATACAGGAACACACACACACACACACACATACACAGCAACCCCCCTACTGCCACCACTGTTGGGTTCTGACTTACCTTTCATTTTCATGTCCTCCAGCAAAATGGAGTCAACTGTAGTCTGTTTATAAACTCTTGCGACTGCGGTCTTCTGCAAAAAAGCATGCAGGATTTATCTGGCCACAGGTTGTCAAATATTTTAAACAAAAGTAAACAACATTTTTCTGCCCCCCCCCCCCCAGTAACCCTCTTCCCCATGAACCAGCTCTACCACCCCTGTTTGACTGGCACAGGATGCGTTCAGGGAGGTTTTTACCGGGTTCCCATGATCCCTCTAAAACTCAAAAAATATTGGCAAAATCAGAGGTTTTGGGGCAGCAGGAATTGTCCCCCCAATTCCTCCCTGCCAGGCCCACCCAGGCCCTGAGAGGGAACAGCATGAGGCGGGAGAGTTGGGTTCAGGAGAGGATCCTTGTTGTGCCAGGATTCCCAGGGCGGGACATCCTCCGAGAGGAAGGGTTGCTGGGGAAACAGTAAGAGGAAGGAGAAGTCATTGCTTTTTCGACCCCTCGTTTCCCCACCAGACTTCAGCTGTCAGGCCTGTGGCACAGCCACTGCTGGTCTCACCTGCGGCCTGGCGGAGTGGAAGAGAAAGCCTTACACCCTGCTTGTTCTCCTCCCACTGACCTCTCCCCCGCAGCACATACAGAGGTGGGGAACCTCGTGCTAGCTGGCCATTTCTCCCTGCCGCTCCCCTTGCAGCCCCGGAAGCGCAGGGCACCATAAAGCCCAGCAGGGGCCTGAGATGGAGGCCTCGAGTCCCCTCAGGCGGGCTTTTATTTTTAAAAAGCAGAATGCCAATACACAGAGTAAAAATGGCTTTTAGGCAGATACATCTGTACTCAAGCATCTTAGGACATGTTTTCTTGCATAGACAGTTCACATTAAAATGTCTTAAGCCCAACGACTCAGTTATAAACATGTTATGAGTTTGTTTATCCTGGGAGCAGGGAAAGACTTTTATACACAGCCCGGCTTCTGAGCCTTCCAGGGGCGGAGGTTAACAAACCTTGGGAAAACAGTCTTTCATAGAAGAAGAGAATAAAGTAGCGCACAGTATTCTGTTTCCCTATTGAAGGAAGGAAAACAAAGGAGTAATCAAAACCGTAATTTATGGGAAAGGAGGCAGACTTCCATCTGCTTTTATTGAAAACCCATCCTGCAGATGTTGGGTCTAATTACAAATCTGCCATTTTCTCGTTGATTGACTTTAGTGGAATCTCAGTCTCCGATCGGCATACGGTGCTGTTACCACATATAAAATATAATTATTTAATTGATCTTTAGACACCTATTCTTTTTATGCAGATGAGAGAGCTTTGCGCATGAAGGCTGTCGTTCCAGAGGTGAGTGTCTGAATACTAAATGTTGGTTTCGTTCCCACAGGTTCACAACAAACAGGATTCCTAAATGCCCTTAAGGACAGTCCTGCGAGATATCCTTTGTGGTGCCCTGCTTCCGCGGGCGTGTGGGAAGTACTGCCTGGCCTCCTGCTCTCTGTCCCGGCCTGTCCTTCTCAGACATCATATTCTTTTTATTCTGGAGTGCATCTAGGGCACCCCCTGGTATCCACCTGCCTTGCAGTAGCGTCTGAATGGCAGAGCCTACCAGAGGCTCGTTTAGCCTGGTTGAAGCTAAGGTGCTCTTTTGTTGGGAGACCCAGGAGGGACGCTTGCACTGATTTGTGTTAAATCAGGCTGGTCTGAGGAGAAGGCTGGGGCTCCGTCTGACTTTACTGTCATCAGCAGGTCCCTGCAGTGTATATAGGGGTGCCCCTGGGGGTCCTTTTCTTGGCAGACAGACACTGGGTTGGGTGCTCTGGCCCTCCTCGTAGATTCCGTCAGGAGGTGTGGCTCCTTCGGGCAGCATGGATGACAGATTTATTTCCAGAAAAGAACACCTTCTCATGGCTCTGAGGGGACTAAATTTGGTCCATGTCAGTCATCGGACCCCATCCTGCCAGGCGGCACACACGCCCCGCAGTGCTGTGGGCACCTGACGGAAAAGACATCCACTGAGACATGCTTGAGTGGACTCCCGCTCCCTCCCCTGCCCGCGGCATGTCACGGGGTCAGCACTGGGCCTGCGTGACCCTCTCTCCCAGTCCAGCTGGGACCCAGCTCTTTCTTTTCCTCTAGGCAGGTAGATGGGGCCCGAACACCTCCTTCCTCCCTGGAGCAACCGTCTTATGGCAGAGAATTGCTCAAGAGTAAAGAGACACATGACACAGTTATTGAAATAAACCAATTTGTGTCCCTGGGCTGGGTTGGTGGGGGACTGCGGTGTTGGCAGTGGTGGTGTTACTGAGATAGATCTAAAAGCAAACTTGGCTCTTTCTGTACATTCACATAATGTCTTCTTGGTGCATCTGTGTTGTCGGGCAGCAGAGAATGTTCTCTGTGAGTACTGAGGCAGGAGGACGGGAACAGGGAGGTGACATGGGCAGGCTGGGCAAAGCCCCCCGCTGGCCTTCATTCTTCTGGAAGTGGCGGGGACTTACAGGAACATAGATGTCCCCATACTCAAAAGTGAGAAGCTGGGCTTTCGTGGTTACAAAGCACACACAAGTTTCACGTGTCACTAAGCCTCCCCCTCCTTAGAGGGGTGACCCCCAAAGACCCTCTGTTGTGACGGCGTCTTCTGTTTGACATGTGCTTTGAAGAAGAACATCCTTCTTGCATGAGTCTGTGAAGAAGCGCTGAGTTCTGGTAAAGGAGCATGTGTTTGTACCCTGAAAGATTCTTGGTGCTACTGGGTTGCGGTGTATCTGGGGGGAAATAGTAAGCTATGGTGATTAGTGATAACTTGTATTTTACAAGTAAGGCTGGATTCCTCCGGTATTTTTGGCGCCTGCCTTCCTCTGGACGCCCGTGTGCTTTGGGGGTAGCACCGGATGGCTGGGTGGGAGCTTCTGAGGGCAGCTTGAGAAGTACATGGTTGTAATAATGACAGGAGGGGCTCCGTGGCCTGGGATGGCACAAGGTCCCTGTGTTCACTGGACCCCGCCTGCTATGGGGTGGAGTTCATGGCATCAGAGAAATGCGAACCCCGGAAAGCTGTTGTGAGCTCCCCCGCAACGAGGCCTGGGAGCTGGGAGTTTTTCTTGAGGTGGTGGGTTTTCTGTGGGTGGCCCTGACTTGTGACCTTTCCGTGACCTGGTGGACAGCAGTGCTACCACAGCCTGCCCTCCCCAGCCCTGCGGTCTGCGTGAGCAAGAATCTGTTTAGATACCGAGTTCTCGTGCCCGGAGGAGGGTTTCCGGCCGAACTACCAGAGTAAGAGTTGGAGTCCGGTGGGAACTTCGCAAGTGGCCACTGTCAGGGGCAAGAAAATTGCATATTTAAGCTTTTTCCATGGCCTCAGCTCTGACCCCCGACTATGACATACAAATATTTTAACAAGGAATAAGGGCACAGGCCAAGGTTTCTCACCCTGGATTTACTGGATTTAGAGTAAATCTGCAAAAAACAATGTCAGTGATGAAGTGTGTCTGTGAACAGACCCGCTTCACAGATGACTGACCAACGCGCTTTAAAAGGAACCTGGTGCCAGCGACGGAAACGTTGACACATCAGAGGCTCCTCATCAGCCCACATGAAGCTCCAGAAGAAAGGCCTAGACCAGCTGGTGCTGTGACTAGGCCGAGACAAGGGCTGCTGGTTCCAGGGGGCGACAGAGCCGGCAGGGAGCAGAGGAGGGAGGCAGTCATAAAGGCTCCTCTGTGGGCCCCACTGGGCCTGCACTGCCTGCAGGTGAGGGAGGGACAGCTGCTTGGCCCACGGGCATCCTCCACCCACTCCTCTCTGTCTCTCTCCCTCCCTGCCTGCCCCTGGCTCCTATAACCCAAGTCCTTTCCCTCCCTCTCCCCCTGTAGCCCAGGCCTGGCAGGGGAGATGCCCATGGGGGCTGCCTGATCCTGTCTTACTGGACTGTGGGCTCCCCGAGGCTGATGGAGACAAGAGATCACACGGGAACTGCCCCACACCCTAGAGTGACTTTAGGGTCCTCTGTAGTTAGCTGCACGAAGCACCGGCAAGGGGGAGAAGGTCCTGGTGCCTGCCTACGAGGGTCACATTATGTCGGAAATAAGAGTAGCCAGGCAAGCCCCTGTGGGGGAAGCACGCGTCCACACCTCGTCCTTGTAGACTTCCAGAGTTCCCAGAGGCAGCACCCCTGAGGAACAGGTCCCCAGAGAGGGGAGCCACTGCAGATCAAGTCTTTTTGGCATAACATCATTAATGTCCAATTAAAAGGATTACAGTCATTTTTAATCATGACTTATTGTTCAGGGCTCCCAAAACAGAGTTTGCTGTGGTTGATAAATCAAATGGTAATTGAGTCTACATTTGTGGAAGCTTTTGACAGAAAAACCTTTGTAGCCCAATTTGCATTCATTTCCAGGCACACCATCTGACAGCCATCCCTCTGGTCTCGTGGAACGTGGTAGAAGGTGCATCGGTCTGAGGCCTCCCGGGAGAGGGACACCTAGGGCAGGGGAGTGTGACCCCAGGTTTGGTATCTGCTCCTCAGGAGGCCCCAGAAGACAAGAGAGTGTCCTGAGTGCCCTGACAACTGGACCCGCACAGAGGGGTTCAGTCACCCCAGTTTATGCACCCAGGTGTCTGCAGAACTAGTGCTTGCTGCCTCCACCCCCCCACCCCCACTAAGCACCACCCACTGCCCCTTGGGTGTGATGCCGGGATTTCGTGCAGAAGGACCTTCAGCCGCATCTCATAGGGTCACAAAGTGGGGGAGGGGAGGTGGCTTTTGTAATCGCCCAAGGAACACAAGGACGCGTTCTCATGGGGAAAATAGCAAATAGTCGCAACGGTTAGAGCAGAGGAAACGTCACGCTGTAGGGAGAGCTTTGTGGACGTTTGTGGGTCCCTCCGTGTGGTCTCCTGAGAGTTGGAATGCCTTCTGTGCACCCCACACATGCCTGAACTGGGTTGGGGGCTGCTTGTCCCTAGAAGGGATCATCTGCCTCGTCCTACATCTTCGCCTTTCAGGATTTCTGGCAGCTCCCGGCCCGGGGATGTGGCTTGTTCTCCTTGGGGGTGTTCAGATTCCCTAAGTTTCTCATGGCTCAAAAACAAGAGAGGGGGTGACGGCTGCGTGCGGCAGCGCCGAGTCAGACGCGAAGCACACCTGAGTGTGGAGGGAGGTGCGTGGCGTCCCCTGAGGAGGCTGCCCCCCCCACCACCGCGCGTCCCCCCTGGCCGCCACCCACACTGGGTCCCTGCAGCGCTGCGATTTTGCCAGTTGATGGGGAGAAGAAAATGTCATTGTTTAAATTTCCATTTTCTGGGTAACAATCGGGGTGCACATCTTTTCACATTTCCTGACCTTTTTCTCCTTTCCACAAGGTGCCAATTCATAACCTTGGTCCGTTTCTAGACCGGATTGTTCTTTCTTTCCCTACGAACGCGTCCTTTATGGGTTCTCAGCAGTAATTTTTTAAATATCTTTGGCCAGTATTTTTCTCCCAATTTCTCACTTAGCTTTTAACTTTACGTTTTCATACAAAGGGGTATCATTATTAACAACAACCTATTCATCTTGCACTCCATTATTCCTGGCCTTCGTGCCTTGGATCCTCACCCCGAAACTGTATGATTATTTCCTTTATTCCTCTAATGCCTTTATATTTTGCTCCTTTAGTTTGGCACAGTAATTTATCTGAAATTCAATTTTATGTGTGTGGTGCAAGCTGAAGTTGTCACTTTATTTTTCCCAAACGCTTAATGAGTGCCCCAGTACCTCTTCATATTCTGTTATCGTATCGATATTCTAGTGGCTCTCAAACTTTAGCTCTCAGGATTCCTTTACACTCTTAAAATTATTGAGGAGCCCAAAGAGCTTTCATTTGTGTGGACTGTATCTATTTTTATTTGTCGTGTTTGAAATTCAAACTGAGAAGACTTTAAACACAGAAAGGCCCAGGTGCACAGGCAGTCAGCGTGAGCGTAACGGCCTCATCGTGCATGGCGGACCCCTGGGCCCTGAAAGCAGCATGATAGTGAAGCTGCGGACGAGCTTTGGGTATTGCTACAAAGCTAGTCGTGATCCGCAGAATCCCCGGGAAAATGTCTTGGGGGACCCGACAGGCTCCAGGGGCCACACCTGGAGAACCTGTCATTCTCGCCACTGCTGATTCGAAATGCCTCCCTCCCGCCCTATGCCCAGAGCCGTCCCCACTCGGTCCTGCCCTACTGCAGCTCTGGAGGTGTCTCACCTGTCTTAGTTTACCTGAAAAGCTTTCCCCCCTCTGCCGAGCCCTCCTGCATCTGTTTCACAATTTCTTGTCTGTTCTAACATATCTTCTCTTCCTGATGAATTTTAGCATGAGTTTGTTGAATTCCATTTTTTCAATTCCAGTTGGGATTTTGGTTGGAATTCCAATAACTGCCCAGATTAATCTGTGGCCACTCCATAACTTTATTGCCCCCCCACCACACACAAACACACCATACACAACACACAACACATGCATAGCACACACCACATGCACCACACATACAACACATACCATATATACCACACATATAACATACACTACATGTGCCACATAACCATACACACAACACATACAACATACATAACACACAACACACATTACATGCACCACACATCACACACACACACAGAGCAATGCAGTAACAGGCCCTTGGGTACCGCGAACAGGTGTGTGTTCCTGTCTCTATCTAAGAATTATAGGCCATCTATTTGATGAGGGAAATAATGCTGACAAGTTCCTAAATATCTAAACGTATTTAATGCTGATGTAGACACTCCAGAGTACAGAAGGGAAATTTCTCTGATCTCTGTTCTCCCAACAAAGTGCATCTTGTCAGCGAGCACTGCCTATTTTACTCTACCTTTTAGAAGAAATGAATGATTATCAACAACATCCTGAGGCCCTCAAGCACCAAGACAGAGACCTGAACCAGGCTAAGAAGCACAGGAACCGGCAGGCGCCCAGGCCGAGGAAATCCCCACCAGACAGCCAGACCCCAGGCCCTCGTAGCCAGCTTGGGACGGGAAGGGCCTCAGCATTCTCTGGTCTCCTGGAATCCAGGGGACTTGGGTCAGTGAGAAAACCCACATGAAACACACAGACTTTAAAAAATAAAGCTATTATGTGGATTTGGCAAAAAATGCCGCAGGCAGCCTGACTGCTGCGGTGGAGAGGCAGGCAGGGGCAGGTTAATGGAGACAAGCTCTTCCCAGGGGCTCTGAGGCCCGGGCTGAGGAGCAGGGTGTGACATCATGGCCATCTCTGCCGTGCAGCCCTGAGCTCCGAAGCCACAAACTTTGTGTCTGTCACTTGGCGTCCTGAGAAGTGTCCTTTTTCTCCTCTTGTCTGAGACCCTCTTCCCGGTCTCTTGCCCTGCTGTGTGAGCTCTTGTGAGTTGCGTGGCCTCTCTGGGCCTCAGCTTCCTACCTGGAAAACGAAGGATTTAAATAAATCAGGAGGTCGTAATACGGGGTCCTTGTATAGCCACATATCAGGGGAGTTTTTAAGCCTCTGACATTATAAAAAATACTGGGCATTTTTTCTGAGAAAAGAATGGAAAGTTAGGTCAAAAATACTTGGGTCCATGACCCCTCACCTTTGTGAGTCGCAGAATACTGGGGTGTCCTCATGTGCTGCCCAGCCCTGTATCCCCACCCCTGTAGGCCTGGCTTGCCTTCCCGGGACACATAGACCCTGTCCCCTTAGGGCAGTGGGTTCCTCCTGCCCACCCACCCCTGCCTGTCCCAAGAACAGAGTTGGGTGCACAGAGCTCAGTGGGGCAGGGGCTAGTCGGGGGGTGGGTTATCCCCACTGGTGTTTTCGGTCTTTTTCAATCTCTGATAATCTAGTCTAAGTCTCGGCTGCAACCTCTTGGGCGGTGGCTGCAGGCATTCAAAGCACCCTCTGTCTTACGGTGGGGGAGAGGCACAGGCAGAAGCATAGTAACTGCAGGAACATCCAACTGCGTATGAAACTGGCCCCTAGTGGAGCTGGCATGTTTCCTCACATTCTTCCTTTAAAAGAATCGGCAAATGAGTTTTGAAGCGTGTAAGAGACTGTTGTGTGCACGTGTGTTCCTGCATCTCATTGTGACATGGGTGCTTCCCGGCACCTGTTCTGGTGCCTGTACCTCAGCCTCAGAGTAAACGTGGAGGGGGTTGAGTGTGTTCACAGGCCCTGACCAGAAGGTCCCATCTCCACCAACAGAGGTTAGGGTTTTCGTGTCCTTCTGAAAGAACTAGCAGAGGAACCCACCCCTAGCCTTTCTGTCTAACTGGCGGAACCAGAATGCCAGGACTCAAATCCTAGCTCTTACTTATTCCTTAAGCAAATTACTTCACTGTTTTCTGCCTCAGTTTCCCTCTTGGTTAAGTAGAGATCGCACTGGTTTGCTCTGAGGATTAAGCCTGAGATGTGACCCAGGGCCCAGGCGAGGACGGTGATTCTGTGAGCCAGGCGGTGGGGGTGAGGGCAGCTGTGAGCCCGGGGGTGAGCAGAGCGTCTTGTCCTTGACCTAAGACTCGAGCCTTTGGACGTGGCTGAGCTGACGGTGAAATTGCATCCTGCTGTGTATAAAATGCTTCGAAAGCACATGATATACCAATACAGAAAACTGCGTTTATGTTATTGCTGTTACCGTAAACCTTTAAAACCCATGTCACTGCTCACAGCACATCCTTGGAGATAATCCCTGTGCGGGACCTTGCAGAGGGAACAGCTGCCAGACAAGGGGCAGCGGCCACTTTAGCTCATCATCCCCCTGCCCCTTGACGTGCCAGTTATTACGTGGCTCGTGCCTAAGCGTGTTATGTAGATTTGATGTCACCATCATGCTACCTAATTGCAAGCCTTGGGTGACACCGAAGTGCTTCTGAGGTCACATTTCGGCTCTGCTGCTGTTGCTCAGTAAGTAAATCTTTTAGTTCCATTCTTTGATCTCCTTTCCTTCCTTGGTCACCTCCCGTCTCCATTTTGTTTATCGCCTCCTCTTTGATCTCTCTGGTCTTTTCCTCCCAGCTCGTGCTCAACCATTGCTGGTGTCATCTCCCTCCACACCCCCTCTTCCTTGACTCAGTCTTTCCACTGCTTGGCTCACTCTACCTGGGCCTCTGCTTTCACCCCCACGTGTGCTGTGGAGCTCACATGGGTGGCCTCCCCGGCCTGTCCCGTCTTGGGTGGGGGGATGAGGGTAGAAAGGGGAGCTTCTGTCTGCAGGCAGTTGAGAACAAGGCCATCTTTGCCACGTGAACCACCATCCCTGTGTTCATCCTGGGCTTCCACCATACCCGTCTGCCCACCTGAGAAAGGAAGAGGTAGCCCAGGCAGGGGGCAGCCCAGGGTAGCGGTCTCCTCTCTGCATCTCCCTGTCCCCCCCGCCAATCCTTCCTACCCATCTGTATCTGCTTTTCTAAAATACCACCTTGGTTTTCCTCTGCACAGACACAGCTGCCCCCACTCTTTGGTTCACCTCTTTGGCTCCCGCCACAGGGAGCAGCAGGGCCTGCTGGGGCCCGCCCTGGCTCCTGGAAGAGCCGGCTGCCCTCCTGACTCGCCAGTAGAGGAACATTCTCCTCCCGTTCATTTCTGGTGGTGCTTTTCTGAAAGCTTGCAGTTCTAGATGTTTGGGCTTGAGTGTAAAGCTTGTTTCAGCTTCTGCAAGAACAAGTCCAGTGACTTATCCTGATGTTGAGAGTCTATCAGCGGGCAGGGCTCCATCCACTAATGGGGTGCAAGCGCCCCCTGTGCCTGGAAGATGCCTTGTTAGCGGGGACATGGCAGATGATGAGATGGTGCCGGACAATCCATTTCTGGTCTCCCGATGAACTGTAGCCAGTCCCGAAGCGGGTCAGTGGGGATGTGTGACAGCAACACCTCCGGGGCACAGCACAGCATGAGTATTTCCTTTCCCTCGCTGTCATTTATCTTTGGGCCTGATGTATATTTCAGCTCCCAGAACTGTGATGAATTCTTCTTTTTCTTGAGAAACTTCTATATCTTGTAAATAGAATTTTATAAACATTGATGGGGCAGAAGAAATCTCTAGTCTCTTCAGATCGCCACCCTCTTGGCTGTCCCACTATCTGCTGGGCTACAGGTTGTGCTGCGGAGCTGTGGACTCCCTGTTACTTGGCATCTGCTGCAGCCAGGCTTCCACGCAACCGTCTCAAGAGCTGTGGGCTGCCTTCTGTGTCGGGGTTCGCCAAAGGGCTGAGGAAGCTTCCTCTCAGTGCAAATTCCCCTCCCCCGATGCCACTCTGAGAAATGCCCACTGGTTCAGAGCCCACCCCCAGGGTGAAAGAGGGGTCGGGGGAGAGACAGCCTTGAAGATGAACCCTGCCTGGGCAGCAGCTGCCCCACCAGCCCCGCGCCCCACAGTCAGCTGCAGCTAGTGAGAGGGGGTGACGTGATGGTTCCCCAGGTCGGGGAGATACCCGCGGGCCTCACAGCCCTCAGCACTCGGAAACCAAACTTCGAGTCTGTGATTGAAGTGCAATATTGGGGTATCGAGGACACCCGTGGAAGGCGGGGCTTGCGGTTAGCGTCCTAGTCTTGCTGCCGCCACCACAGGCTCCGCCATGAGTCACCAGGAAAAGGCAAAGGTCAGGTAGGGAGGATGATCAGGACTGGGGTGAGAGAATGGGCGCGCCAGGGCCCCTTGCGCTGGGCTATGGTGCTGTGGCCAAGGGTCTCCACCGAGGAAGCAGCCTGCGAGGGGCTGGGGGTTCCGTCCAAATCCCGGGCCCTCCCGGGCTCACCTCCTTGACTCGGGGTCACTGTGCTGGAGGCCGTGGTGTGCTTCTTCTCCGTCTGGTCGATCGTGGGCCTCTCGGGTTTCCACACCTACCTGATCAGCTCCAACCAGACGACGAACGAGGATGTGAGTGCCTGGGTCTCGAGGTCTTCTGTGTCCACTGCAGGGGAGGGGAGGGTCTCCAGGGCCCAGCGTCTTCACACCTTCCCAGGTGGACGCCCGGGAGCCCAGGGGAGCAGGTGGGGCTCCAGGTCACCCCTGGGAATCTCTCAAGTGCCTGGTTTTCGGACCACCTCACTCAGAAACTCAGGTCAGCCAAGTTACCCCATCGGAGCCCTCAGGGGGCAACCCCTTTCTCCCCACGGCAGCCATTTTGTAAGCTCATCACAGCTCCCCAGAGGAGCGGCCATGCTGGCGAACTCACTCACTGAGTCTCATGTTCAGCAGCTCCGCTTCATTTTGGGGCATCACCCTGACCCAGAGTTCAGCTTTTTGTCCACGATTCTGTATACACTTATGCAGGTAGAGACCTCTCTCTACAGCGACAAGAACCTTCCACATGAGCCCAACCCTCTCTCCTCTGAATAGATTCTGGCAGAGTGTCCCTCGGTACCTGAATTACTCGTCAGAATCAGTCAAAGCCTTCAGGATCAGCCTCAAAGCCTTGAAAAAACGGTGCTGATGACATTCATGAGTCAAGAGAATATTAATGTGGTCATTTGTACTTGGTAGCTCTGAATATTAGAGGTTACCAAGTGAGTTTGGCCCCACAGGAGACTGAATTCAGTCTATAATTGGCAATTACTTGACTCTTGACTACCATTGACTTAGCTACTATTCAGCAGATTCAATGTGAGCGGGGCAAATATCTCCGTGGCTTGTGTGAGCTGGCCCTTGGTACCAGGTAGTGGAAATAAGAGATTATTGACCCAATCTAACCTGCTGTACATGCTCATTTTCCTTGAGAAAAGTTTCTCCGTTTCTCCTGCTAAAGAAACACATAAAGATTATTTGTATTCTTTGTGGGCCAATTGACTTGAAGGGCGGTGAGTCTTATTGACCTCCCTTTTCTTGCAGATTAAAGGATCTTGGTCGAACAAAAGAGGAAAAGAAAACTATAATCCCTACAGCTATGGAAACATCTTCACAAATTGCTGCGTGGCCCTGTGTGGGCCCATCTCTCCAAGGTGAGATTCAGAAAGCACCACGCTCTCCAGCAGGCTCACCTGGCCATGGACTCTGGCCTCCGAAGGGAGAGAGCTGGCCTTACAGCTGGGCACTGGAGCAGCTCAGCTCTCGGCTTTATCCCCCAGACACGGCCTTCACGAAGCAGAGCTGCTGTTCTGCTTGGTGCCTTTTTGGTTCTTCAGCTGAATTCATGTCAAGTTTAGAGGAAATCACTTAAGGGTCAAAATAGGGAAACTGAGGCATGTGACCTCGCATGAATGACTGGTGCTGAGCATCCATGACAGGCAGGGAGCTGTGGTTAGCAGTAAGAGAGCCAGAACACAGCACAGGAAGCAATCAGAAAATAAATGCTAAGAGCTGAGTTGTACAGAATAAAATTGCTAAGGAGCTCAGAGGGAGAGCTGTGTGGGCTGAAGATCGTGGGGATGATAAAACAAAGATAATGTTAATAACAGCAGCCGCTGGCATTTGCTAAGCTACTGTTAGGCTCCACTCCAAGTGCTTTACGTGTGTTAATGTCTTAAAATCCCACTCTGTCCCTATGAGGAAGGTACTATTATGCTCCTTGCCGTGGAGAGAGGTTAAATAACATGCCCGAGATCACACAGCCCGTGCATGCTGGCTAATCAGCGCTCAAACCCAACCTCTGACACCAGAACCAGTGTGTGTGTCCACTGGCCAGGCTGCTGCCAAGTCAGGACTCTGCAAGTCCAAAATGCAAGCGGCTCTTGATTATTTGTGAGTTAACGCCCATGGAGGAAAGTATTTCCAACAGATTCGTCAACCAGTCATCAAAAGCATTTATTGAGCAAACATGCCAGGACTCTGAAACAAGGGCATTTCTGGAGCAAGCACCGCTCCTGGGGTGGATTCCGTGGCTCCAGGGGGTACAGACAGCTGTCACTCTGCTCAGGCAGAATGAGAGGGGTCAGTGTTTTTCTGCCCGTCCTCTTGTTGCTCCCTTTGCTCTGCCCTGTCTCTGCCCAACCTCACCCACCTGTGCCCTTCAGCAGGCCAGGCCTTCTAGGGGTGTCCCACCAGTTCCCCCACTGAGCCGTGTCCTGCACCTCAGCCAGGGCCTCAGAACCACCTGTCTTCCCAGAATTCTGTGCTGTGTTGCCTTTAGCGCATTCTTAAGTGTGCTCATGATTGAGAGGTCACACTTCCCAGGAAGAACCTCGGGTGTGGGCAGACACACGTTCAGTTCCCTGCATGGTGTCCCCAGAGCTGTGGGGGCAGCGAGGTGGGAGGGCCGGGTCTGGGAGGAGCTGGGTCTTCCTGCAAGTCTGGTGTCAGGAGTGGAAAACCAAAAAGATAGAACGTCCCAAGATGCACTCTGGGCCAGGCCAACATCACCAGGCCAGTGCCACAGGTCCCCAGGCCTAAGAAGTCACCTGCCGCTGCTGCTGCCCAGACACTTGCAGCAGGCCCTGAGGTGGGGCTGTGAGGGAGCAGTGTCCAGGGCCAAGCAGGCGAGTCTGCATGGTGAAGTGCTATGTGCGGGCAGGGCAGGCTCCACGGAACACCCGGGGGTGCTTCTCAGAGGTGGGGTCCAAGTGGTGACCTGGTCTAAAAGATGAGTGGGAATGAGAGAGAAGGAACTGCGGGAGGCCAGACAGAGCCAGCAGCCTGTGCCAAGTGCCCAAGGTAAGGGAGAGGCTGGCCCATCAGGGGAGAAACGAGGGGGGTTAGTGATCGAAGAGGGAGGGCGTGGGGGTAAGAGGTGAGATGAGGGAATATGGCCAGATTTTCAGGGGACCAGGAGAAGGGGCGAGTGTCACCATGTGGGACCGGACATTGAACAGGCTGAGCCCACAGGATGCAGGCCCTGAATAGCTTTGTTTTCCCCCTGCTGTCTGTCCCTTCAGACTCTCTTGCTGACCTAGTTTTTTTTCTGCGCCTGGATAAAATCCTCTGCAATTCCCTCAATTTCTCCTGTCACTTAAAAAAAAAAAAAAAAAAAAAAAAAAAAGGAAGAAAGAAAGGACCACAGGCACTTTCATTTCCTTCAAAATAGGGTCATTTCTGTGAACTTTCCACCCCTCCAACCCCTGCCCCAGTGGGATTTCGGCCTACATTTGGGGAGGGTACAAGTTCAGTCCCCCCCATCCTCCAGTTGCCACTCCACAGGGATCTCTCCCACGGGGTCCCTCCGGCCACCCTCCCCCCCGCCCCCTGATTCTCATCCCCCGCAAGCACACACATTTCCTTCCTCCAGGATGTCCTCTGGTCTTTCACCCCTGGTCTTCTATACCCTTGAAGGAGTCACAGATTTGATCTGAGAAGCCCATTAATGTTCCTGTCTAAGGCGGGCAGGGGTGCCTGGCACCTCCCTTCGGAAGATGGTGGCTCTGGTTGTTGCGGGTTTTCTGTACTAAGCCTCTAGGGATTCTGCTGAAACTGGAGCAGAGACAGTCCAGTTAAAGGTGCTGTCAGAAGCATATTTTAATGACTTGTCACTCTGACTCTAAGCTGAAGAGATTGTGCAGGCACAATCATGCAGGTCGTTGTTTCCCGGAAGCTGCTCAGGATTTCAGGGGGAGCGCTGGGCCGGCAGTGTGGCGCAAGCTCCACATAGTGATAACAGATTGGTCTTCTAGTCCAAAAGTGTATTTTTGTGAACCTTTGTTTTTGTGAGTGGGAGTCCCCACTTATAGCCAAACCTCACTGTCCTTTGCCATTCAACCCTTAGCCTCAAGGTCAAGGGTGAGCCTTCACTCAAGGCAAAACTCCCCTCTACTGTGTAGTTGCTACAGAGCCACCAAGTATAGAAAAGATGTCTTTATAAGCATTATTCAGAAGATTTGTCCCTGTGAAACAAAAAATCCATTTTTTCATTCCATCAACAAGCATTTGCTCAGCACTTCCTACATGTCCATGTGCAGATATAGCAAACATGAAGACACAGTCCTTTCCCTGGTGGTGCTCACACCCATGACACATGCAAACATGGAAATAGGTGATGCCAACATGATGTGACCCTGGTGCCCAGGGAGGCAGGAATCCCCTGGTTTGGACCAAGTGCTATAGGGAGGAAGAGGTGAAGGCTTCCTTAGAGCTGGCAGGTGCTGACAATGAAGACACTTGTGTAAAATCACTGTGACCCAGTGGAATACTACTCTGCTATAAAAAAGGTGAAACCCTGCCATTTACAACAACATGGATGGGCCGAGAGGGTATTTAATGTGTTTGTGAAATAAGCCAGATGGAGAAACACAAACATTGATTTCACTCACATGCAGTATGTGAAGAAATCAAGCAAACAAATGAACTAAATAAAATAAAAATAAGCTTTCAGACCATAAGACCAATTTGTGGTTACCAGAAGGGAAGGGGGTCTGGAGAGCGTAACCCCATGGAAGGTGAATGGGTAGAACTGGACTTGCAGTGGTGAGCTCATGCAGTATAGACCATGCAGAGTTTCAGAGATGCCACCTGGTGGATGCTATATAATGTTATAATGTAATGTTACTTCAATAAGTAAAAACATAAATAAAAAATTTTAATCCATTTTTATTTATTTTTTTTTTTAAAGATTTATTTATTGATTGATTGATTGATACATACAAGCACTGGGTACAGTTAGAAGCGCAGGAGGGAGAGAGAATTCACCAGAGCCAGAGCGGGGAGCAGAGCAGGCAGAAGGACTGAAGTACACTGCTGAGGGGAGCAGCGGGCGGCAGGAGAGGTCTGCGCGCCATGCGGGACCCTCCTCCCGAGGCCGGGGAGCAGCCGGGGATTGAACCGGCGTTGCAGAGACTGCCGGCAGCTTCCCAACCCAGCGCTCAACCGCTGCGCCACCGGAGAGGCCCTTAATCCATTTTTAAAGTAAAAAATCAAAAACCATAAAATTACTGTGACACAGGCAAGTGGTGATAGGCGCCATGGGGTGTGGGTGCGCGTAGGTTCTTCAAGCATCCAGCCATGGGAAGAAAGGAGGTGTAGGGACAGGGGCAGGGACTGGGGGCTCTTGAGCCTGGCCATGAAGAATGGACAGTAGTGTGGAAGGAAAACTGATTTGGGGCAAGAAAATCCCAACTTTAAACAAAAATAGAGATGGCCAAGTCCAGAGAGAGTGCCGGTTGTTCTTGGCTCCCTCCCCGAGGGTGCGTGGGCACAAGAAGGTCTCAGACCCCGCCTTGGGAATGACCTGGGCCACGGTGTGTAATAAGAACACGTAGACTTGAGGCTGCAGAGAGAGTTGGGGACTGGGTGCCAGAGCCTTGAAGCCGTAAGAAAGAGGGGTGGCCCGATGAGGACTGGGTGCTGGACAGCATGCTAATGGCCAGAAGGGGCGGGGGGCACTGGCGTGGAAGGAGATGGTGGGTCTGTTGCAGGGGGAGAGGGGCACAATTGCTTCCAGAATTTTAAAGCTGTGAGAGGACTGGCCACCTGAGTACATGCGAAGGGGACTGAAGGGGCATCCCAAGGTCCTGAAGTGGGGGTCCAGCACAGGAAGAGGAACCCCAAAACAAAAATTAAGATAAGTGTTGATAGCGTCTTTGGCTTTTTATTCACAATCTGCCTTCTGTGTTGTTGTTTCATAGCCTCATCGACAGAAGAGGGTACATCCAGCCTGACACCCCCCAGCCAGCTCCGCCCTCGAACGGGTTGGCCGCCTACGGGGCCACGCAGTCGCAGAGTGACATGGTAGGGCTGCTGCTTCCATGAGGGTTGCTCTGTGCTCTGTGTCCACTAACCCAGTAACCAGTCACCAGAAACCTCCCCGGACTTGCACTGACAGAAAGAGAGGAGCCAGGCCCAGCCCAGGAAGGGCTGTGTCCCCTCGGGCGGTTTGCTCGAGGTTGTGCTGGGGAAGTCCACACACAAATCTCCCAGAAACAGCTTCCGGCACCTTCTGTGGTGAAACATGCAGAAGGGGCTGTCATCTAGGGGCACGGCTGGCTGTCTGGATAGTCCCTGTAGCCCAGTCTGTCCCCTTGCCTTCGTGGGTGCAGAACCTGCCTTTTAAGTGTGCAGTTTGTGACGCTGCCAGTTCTCCCCATGTTCAGCCAAAACCAGGATCTTAGTTCAGCCAGGCACCTCAGTGCACAGCTGTCCATTCACCTGTCTGCACAGGTGAGGTGTCCCTGCAGCCAGATTGGCAGGGTGCCTCCCTGAGGGGCTGGCGGGAACGCAGCCACAGAGGTGGAGCTGGGCCTTTGGTTTCCACTCTGCAGGTGGGAGGCTCGGAGCACAGGAGCCTCTCTGTGCGCCTGGAATCCCAGCGTGCCCCCTCCATCAATGCCTTAAGACTCCTCAGGTATCTGTCAGAAAATTTCCCTCAGGGGTTGGTTCCCTGCTTCCAAAAGCGCAGACTGTGGCTCCAGGCTGTTGCTCCTTGGAGACCTGAATCACACCTCACCGAGTTTCCATGACAGCCAGGTCAGAGGCCAGCCTTGGGGTAGCCAAGGGAGGACAGCCCTGGGCACCTGGTTTCTCATGTTAACGCGGCCAGGAGGGAGCCGGCAGTCCAAGAGGCTCTCTAGTCACTAGGGGCCTAAGCAAAGATCCTAATTTCAAACATTTGCTGTGTTCCTGGCCCTGGAAGCGGCTGGGCTCTGGGCCATCAGAGGGGCTTTTGCTGGGGTTTCTTTGGTGGTGGTCGCGGTGTCTGGCTAATGGGATCTCGCTTTGTTTTGCTTGTGAAATGTCTTCTTCCAAAGAAAGTGCATACAGATCATGTCCCTGCAACTCCACACCCTGGACCATAGCCGGGCACTTGTCCATGCCCCCAAAAGGGCCCCCAAGGGTCACCCCCCTTATTTTTCAGAGGAGGGAACCAGGGCAGAGATAATCAACAGGCCCCCAGCTAAGGAGAGAGCGTTCCTTCAGCACCAGCCATGTCTGCACGTGACTGCATCTCTCTTCATCTAAACCAGCGGTGGAGAGTGGGCCTCATGGTTCTCACTCTTCTTTGTTAAGCTGGGAAGGTTGGTTGCCACCCCCACAAAGGCACAGGGCCACTCCTCTGTGGCTCCACCCTCATCGGATGGCCCTGCCACCCAGTAGCTCACCTCGTATATTCATCCTGCAGGTGTGCAGGCACTCGAGACGGATATACCCATGCCCAGAGCCTTTCTCTACTACTAGCAGGTGGACAAATGTCCTGTAAGGACAGAGCTGATGGAGCTCTGAGCAGGGCGCCCACTGATCCCGCAGCATCCATGAGCTCTCCTCCACCCAGCGCCCCCTTCCTTCACCCAGTCCCCACTGCATGTCCAGACTCGACCTGGTGCCGGGGACACAGGTCTGCAGGGTGCAGACGTCAGCAGCCTGGGGCCACAGTCAGGTACACGAAGGCCATATTCCATGCCTTCAGCAGAGATGAAGGCAAGATTCCTCCTCACCCAAGAGGAGGAGCCCACACCCCCTTCCCCCATGACTGTCCTGCCATGTCCCTAGGCTTGAGAGCTAAACAAGGGCTTTTTCTTCAAAGCGTTGGCCCATTGAGCCACTTGAGGTCAAGATGGGTTGGTGCATCATTCCTTCATCCATCAAGCATGTCTAAGGCGGCTCCTCAGTGGACATGACTACAGGGAGGGGGTGGGGAGCAGGAACAGAGCGCTGGTCCTGGCTCCCATCGGGTATCTCCCTGGCTATTCGCATATCATGCTGCCTCGTCCCTGGTTCTCCCCACCTGCAAATGGGAGCTGGGACTAATTGTCCCATGAAGCCCTGAAGCCCTGCCCATGCTCTGGTTGCTCTTCAGATCATATAAATCTTTTGCCTTTCTTTAACACCCTGTCCACTTGTAAGGTGTTTGTAAGTCTCTGCTCTTTGCAGCTCAACACGCAGGTCAGAAGAGCAGAGACCAAGTCCCTCGTCCTTCACATACAGAGAGAGGCCCTCCCTCCTCGCAGAGGCGGAGACACTGTGACCCTGGCCTGTCCTCCACCCTCCCCGCCCTGCCCCGCAGACCAAGCACAAGCCCAGGGGCCGGGTTGCTGTCTGGTCTCATACCAGAACTTTTCCTCCTCCTTCTATGCTTCAGATTTCTTGCATTTCTAGGATAAAATCCACTCAGTCAGGGTGTGGGACTCTTTACATGTCGCTGATTGAGTTTGGCTGGTATTTTGTTGAGGATTTTTACATCTACATTCATGGAAGATGTTGGCCCATGGTTTGCTTGTGATGTCTTTGGTGCTGGTGCCAGGGTAAAACTCGCCTTGCAGAGAGAGTTGAGAAGCGTTTCTTCCTCTTCTGTTTTTTTTTAAAACGTTTATAGAGAACTGGGGTTAATTCTTTTGGTAGAACTCACCGGTGAAGGCCTTGGTCCCGGGCTTTTCTTTGTGGGTAGTTGCTTGATCTCTGATGTGTGCATGGTTTATTGCAGCCTGTTCAGATTTGCTGTCTTGTCTTGAGTCAGTTTCAGTAGGGGTGTCTTTCAAGGGAGATTTTGGTGTCACTAAGTGATCTAATTTGTTACCTCTGCCTCTTCTGTCCCACCTCATTTTGGTTGATTATGGAAATAGATGGAAGGAGGGATACTTAAGAATTGAAAAAATGAAAACAAATAGAAAATGAGAATATTTTTTAAAAATGAAGGGGAACGGAGGAAGTGTCCAAGGAGAATGAAGGAAAAAATGGAGTCAGCCCTCAGGGCATATGACATGTGTGCCTCTGCCAGCTCCGGGAACTCTGGCGGCCTCCAGTAAAGGGAGCCCCAATGTGAACCACACACCCCACACTGTCTCCCAGGCCGAGTGATGTCAGAGCCAAGAGAAATACACATTTTGCAGGAATTGTCAAAATATGGAAAATGGGCCAAAATATTTCCAAATTGTCATTGAAACTAATTCCTTGTAACATCCCTTGCCTTTGACTGGCTCGGAGACCTGTAGCTGTCACCCCACATGTCCATCACAAAACCAGCCAGCCCCTCGAGCCCCACAGTGCCTGTGTCATCCGGTTTTCTGGCCGCTGACGCAGCCGCAAGCACACGGGGAACTTACTCCGTGCTCTGGCTGAAGGCTGCATCCTCACTAAGAGCTTCGCACTGCAATTTGCCAAGCAGTCCATCAGCTTCCTTTTTATTTATTTATTTCATTTTGGGGGGATATTGTTAGAGCTCACAATCAATAAAAAATGTCCTTGTATTCTAATCCCCAGTAAGACGAATATAACTAATGCACAAATCATTTCACATTGAGTTTGTTGAAATCACAAGGTGAATTTCAGGCAGGTGAATTTCAAAGATGGAACCTAGTTTATTCAATACAGAATGGACTGTGGCCCTTGGGCCTCTGCCAGGTTTATCACTGCACTCTACAGAACGTAGTCTGCACTAGTCATGCCACAGGGAAAGAGTCATCTCACTGCATCCCCCCTAGAATCTGCCAGTCACCCCCATTTTACAAAGAATGAAACTGAGGTTTTCAAGTAATGACTGACATGCTCGGGGCCACATGGCCGAGGAGTCAGCGCTGGGCACTCCTACTTCCTGCCCCACTTCTGCTTCCTGGCTCTGTGTTGGTGTCAGATGACCCTGTCCAGCTCTGGCTCTGACTTCTGGGAGCTTATGACAGTCTCAGATGCAGGTCAGAATCACCACCCTAGTCAACTAAGCCTGGTTACCTCAGACTCCTCCATGGGGACCCATCACTGGTCCTGGAGGTGATTTTAATCAGCAGCCAGCATGGGTAACTCTCACCATCACCTCAAACCCTCTTTCATCTCCAAAAGTTTGGGTTAAACAGTTTTGAGCCACTTGGGGTTTGCTTTGGCACAAAGCAAAAGGTGATCTTGAAAAACCTTAGGACAAGTTGACTCATCTAAATCTGGTCTGTTCAGAGAGCATAGATGAGTGTGGAATGTGCTGGAATGGAAGGCTGGCATGGGGGAGCTCTGAAAGGAGCACTCAGGTTCCAGGCAAAGCTTCCTGGAAAAAATGACATGTGAGCTAAATAGTAACAGTTAAATTACAGTGAAGTAGCCGTGCAAAGGCAAAAGGTCAATACATGCAGCGCATATGCACACATGGGGCGAAACCCACAAGGGCAGGAACAGGGGGCCTGTGTTACTAGGAGTGTGGGCTGCAAAGCAGGCATCTGAGGGGCTCAGGAGGGACAGCAGGTGCACGAAGGCCTTGGAGCCTTACTGCTTTACAGTGGGCTTTGTTCTATGAATGGGGGGGAGCCATTGCCAAGCCTCAGGGATAGCACCATCAGAATTTCATTTGGGGTGAATGAGGCTGGAGCAGTGAGGAGGCCTCGGGGGACGTGTGGGGCATTGAGGGGACGTGCAATATGGGGGCAAGGGGAGTAGAGCCGGGCCTGCTCTACAGACCTGGAGACAGTGGCATTGGCAGGACAGCAGAGGTGGGTTCCAAAGGAGGTTTAGGCTTCCAGAACTTGATACTAACTGATTCTTGTTCCTATCTTCCTTTCCTCATTCCTTCCTTCCTCCAATTTTGTCACATCTGCAAAAGACTCCACCCTAAATGTGGAGCTAGTAACTCGCAGGAAGCTGTCCTCAGCAACAGGGCCTGGCACCGTGGCTTCGTGAAGTGACGGCCTCGTAGGATCAAATCCTTCCATGGGCCACAAGGCCAGGGCCAGGGTCATTCACCCACTGACACTGCAGGCGACGTGCCCTTGTGCTTTTCCAGGGACTGTGAAAAATTTTAAGACCTGGGGGGAAAAATTATA